TTTCTGCATAGATATTGCCTCAATGCATGGCAAATATATTAACAGATATTTTATCAAATGAACTTGCCTGCACTTTAGTGAAGCTGGCTGCTGTATCTCCTTAACAAAGAGGGAGATTTAGGAGCTCCCATTTTAGTAACAACACAATCTAACTATACTGACACTACAAGGATCATCTTGGGGCTAAGAGCCATGGGGTCTCAAGAGACCTGGGCGCTCTTCCCAGATCTGCCACACATTTCATGTGTGATCTTGGGCAAGTCACTTAAGCTCTCTGTGTCTCAGTTCTCTATCTGTTAGGTGGGTATAATGCTATTTCCTGTCTCACTTTTTGTCTATCTAGATTAGAAGTTTTTTCAGGGCAGAGATAGTCTTAGGGCTTCTTTACAGTTTTTGTATTGCTTTAACTACAGTTGTTTGAAACTGGTATAGTTAAAGCAATACAGACCCCTAGTGTGGATGCAATTATACTGCTATAAAAATGCTCGTGCCAGTGTACCTTATTCCTATAAATGTAAGGGAATAAGTTATGTCGGTGCAAGGCATCTTTATAGTAATGTAGCTACCTCCACACTGGGAGTTGTGCTGATTTAACTATTTTGGTTTAAAAACATACCTGTAACCTAAATAGTTAAATTTGGTACAAAAACTGTAGGCCAGGTTTTACCATACCTGTATAGGGCATAGCACAATGGGCCTTGATCTCAATTGGGGCCTGCCAGTAATCTAACTGTAATACAAATAAATAAGGAACTCCGGACTCCAGTAGTTAAAGTGTTAAACCCACAGGGGCAAATTTTGCTCTCAGCTAAAACCAATTTAAATTCAGAGTAACTATATAAAGGTGGGTGATTTACATTACTTTAACAGAGCAGAATTTAGCCTTGTTTACTAGTCCTTTCTTCTGATAGCTCAAATTCACCCACACATCATGAATAAAATTAGGCTGCATGGAGCCACAAAACAGAGGGAACTGCAATTTTATAGAAATAGAAACTTTTACAATCTAAAATAGTTACCAAGAGCAACTCTGCAGCGTCACCAGATGCAAAAATTTAACTTTAAATTTTGACAATAGTCAAGGCAGATCCTATGGAAAGGGACAGACTCTTACCATGCATTTAAAAAAGGGATGGTCTACCATATGAACATGCATTTTTAAACAGAGATGATTACTTGTCCTCTACAGTTTAATAACCATGCAATATTTACAGTTATGCTCTTTGGTTCTTTCCCCCTCTGACTAGAGTCAGTCTGATTAACTAGTATGCAACAAAAACCTTTTTACAGGCTTCAGATTTTTCTTCACCTTTTATGTATCCTGTTTACATATTTTAATATTAATGGCAAGAAAGGACCATAAAACATGAGACTTGACAAAAAAATTGCAGTATTTTAACATTTAAATTTGGCTGTAAATAAGGCAACCATAATAAACTTTTTTTCTCCACATATTGCAGATTGACTTAGCAATAAACATGAAGGTTTATATTACCGTGACTAAACTGCAGGGCTTCATAATCAGTTGTTAATTTGGTATCTGTGCTCCTAAACTCATGTTCATTTTCTTCACATTTCTGCATCGATGACTTAACCAGTTCATCTCTCCTCCCCACCAAATAATCTGTTGCAAAACTCTCACCTACAATTATTTTACATTCATAAAATGGGCACAATGCTTACCTATGTCAGTGATCTTATAAAGCAAAAGCAATGCTTGTAAAGCTTAGTAGTGCTTATAAAATACTATGTTTGCTATTAGGTTCTGAGTGCAAAACCCACTATTTTTTAAAAAATAAAATGGTTTTATTTTTTAAAACCTTAAGATACTTACACCACAGGGGTAAGAATGATATATAGTTCAGCCTTTGTAGTTTGAGCTGTGCTTAGCAATAATGGGCATACATGATCTTTATAGCCCTGAATGATTTCAGACCCAATTAGCTGAGTGACGAGCTGCCCGATCACAGCAGCGAAGAACTGCAGGTTTCCCTTGCTGCTGCTGTTCATGGGAGTTGTAGTCTCTTGAACTGCAGGCAGGGCACCCACAGTCAAAGGGGCCTCCCCCTATAGAAATATTTTCCTGGTTCGCCAGTTTGGTATGATTTGGAGCACAGTGCTTAATATGGCCTTTAACAACCACCACATTATAATGGAAGCATTTTAACCAAGTTATCTATGTGGGTGACCTGCTTTGTGTGTGTGTGCTGCTTTTCTAAATCCTATGAAGTAAACTGATATTAGTCATCAAACCTTTAACACATTGTCATTAATAATAATTATTATTTTGAACAGTGAAAGAGAAAATACCTTAGCACAGATGTATTAAAACAAATTATCCAAGACTATGGTTTCCCAGCATTTTAGGCAAAACATTTCCCTGCAAGAGCAAATACTATAATAAAAAGAAAGCTACAAACAAATCTGAATTGTTCAGTGGAAAGGCCTATACTTTTTCTCTTAAAAATGACATTCTGAAGTCTAATTATTGTTCCCTCTATCAAGTCACCATAAAAAATACATTAAAGCCTCTCACCAGGAATAATTGGTACTTTTGACTCTCTGGGGAGTTGCACCTTTTTATTTATATAATACAGATACAGTCTTGCCAGCAGAGAGAAAAGAGGAACTCCTAGGGTGGCAAAGATTCATTTTAATAAACTATTTCTTTGGTCCTCAGAAAGTTGAGGCAGGGTCTTTCCCTTAATACTGACCAGTGTCCAAGCTTCCATCCTACTAGGCTATGATTTTTTTTTTTTATCCTGAATCAGCTAAGGCTTCCAACTTGCTAATTGAAAAACAATGTAAAATTATTTTAAGAGTATTCCATAAATAATTCAGGACTGTATTTTCCGAACCAATTGCCATACCTTCTAATGTGAAATACTAAAATTATTTTTAAAGAGAAAAACACAAGGAGACATTTAAAAGTGAAATAAAATATGGTCTAGTAAGCATTTAAAATACACTGAATAGTTTAATTGCACAGTGAATAAAGAGAGGATGAATCAATGCAGAAGCCTGTGTAATGCGGCTGATATATATCCCTAAACCATAGCAGCAACAGCTCAGTATCCAAAAAATGAATTAGCCCTTGAGTAATCAATCACATGTGGTCTCTTTTATAATACACAAAAACAATCAGACAATTATTTCTTTGTAAACATCTTTATTTAATTTTCCTGGAACCCTTCCTCCTCTTTTCCATTTCAAGTTCAATTATTTACCTTCTTTATCACATGCATAGTAAACCTTTTTCTCTGCTGTACCACATTAACAAAAGCTCAGAATATGGGATTTCTTGCCATAGACCTTGAAATAACCACCTTTGAAATTAAAATATCAATACACCATAAACTGAACCCTTAAAGGTGACCTGAAAAGCCAATATGAAAATGCAGTTGAACTCAGAAATTAGTGCTTTAATGCCTTCACTAACCAGACAGTGGGAAAACTGAGTAAAGCAGTATTTTAATTTACCATTAAAAAAAGGAATCATCCCTGGAACTACTCCTGGCAGTACTTCCTGGTTTGCCAATAACCCAGGATGCATCACTGATACTATGGATTGTGTGTGGAAAGTTGAACCTCATGGATTGAATGCTCTAACCAGTCAGATCATAACGGACTATCTTCAGCATGCATTTCCGAGCTTAAGTCAATTTACATTTTGGCTTTGCAGAGCTCCTCTGAGGTATGCCCTACTCAGCGAAGTTTGCTCTGTGAAATAAGCTCTCATGGCTCGACGACCTGGCAGACGTATCCTGGGAGCCATGGGAGTTGCGGCCTGGAAGGAGCCACCCTTCCTGTGGTGAGGATGTGGTTGAGGAGTGCCAGCAGGTCAGGGAGGCTATGAATCCATAAACATTTGTCAGCACACAAGCTGATGGGGTGCACCTATCAATCTCATCAACAGAATGAACGGTCATGTGATCAACACAGACCACAAGAGATTAACCACTGATATTACCATTCATTTTTCTCCAGTTTTAAGAATAAGATGTTTTATTGGTTATATTTTCTGGGCTTTGACAAGCATTGTCAATACTATGGAGAATAGCAGGAAGAGTTGGCAAATGCAAACTAGAAACGGAAGAGCAACAGGAGCAAACGCTAAGGATCAAGTTCTCCTGTCAGCTATACTGGTGTAATCTTGCAAGGTATATGCGGCTCCACTAGTATAACTTAAGAGGAGAATGTCCCTACAGATGAGATGCTCAACTGCCATGCAAAGGGGCATACATGAGGTATTCAATGCCTTAATTATGGGAATTATACATTTACAGCAATAGGAAAACAGATTTTATAGCAAAACGACCTCACTCTCCTGTGACTTTACAGTCTAGGAATTTCCCAGGCAGATCTAGGTCTCATCTGCTGTCCTTCTGCCATATTCCTTTTCTTCATCTGCAAAGAAATCCCAAATTGCCCCGAAAATAAGATAAAATTACAGCACTAGAGGCTGACTTGGTAAGCAGGATTCTGTGCAGTAACTAATTGGTTAGGTCCATTCTCCCTCACACATACATTCTGATGAACATCCTCCAACTGCTACATATAGTAGATAAAAGTTAGGGTCATCAATATGGTGACTAAACCGGATGCAATTCACTCAGGCCTCTTCTGCCCTTTGAAGAGTACTCACCATAAGAATCCTCTCAGCTGCATTTAATAGTGTCCTTATTTTACAAGCAAATTTATGCCGCAATAGGTTGGTACTATTTTAAACAACAACAACAACAAAAATGCTTCATCTTTAAGACCACACAAAAAGAACCTGCTACCAAAGTCAATGCCCACATATTTACCAACTAAAGGAAGCTCGTTCAAGTCTTGTAAGAACATTTTGGGCATTGTGCATCACTAAAACAAGGCCTGCAGATGTAAATAATGGAAAACATTTCAAATACAGCATATAGGAGGTTACTAGTTTGTTTTCTTACTATTTAATAAACATCTCATTTGCTTATTTGCATAAGAAGCAAACAGAAAATCCAATATAGCAACATGTAATGAACCATTTATTTTATTTAACAATATTTAACAAGAATTAGACTCACACCTGGGATGTAACAAAATCAAAAGTTTCTTTTAAATATACTTTCAATTATAAAAATAGCACCACTTCTAAACAATCAAAATTAATTTGTTGCAGGTACCAAATTATAGGAAAACAAGTTGTATAAAAGCAATTATTTATAAAGAAACATCCTTAAAATGAAGAATGAGTTTATGATTTTTGAATCCTTACAAAAATGCATAAAAATAAATTACACCATCTTTCTAGAAAGCTATTTACAGGGGATCTGAAAAGATTAAATCAGTTAAATATCAAAAACTGGAGCTAAAAATCAGAAATCTTTAAACAGTTTCTGATCCGCTGCATTATCCAATCTCACAAGATGATGTGCTGAATTAACAAAATCTCACAATGAGAGAAACAAAGCATTCATTTTCCTGTTTTCAGCTGAGATATACATGATAAAATAATTGTGGGAGGAGACTAGCCAAATAAAATGACCAGCAGTATAAAAACACCTACTAGCATAGTTTGTCACTGGAATTACTTTCTCTAACAATAATTAACTTAGATGGCTTACCGAAAAACATTCTTCTTAGCAATTTTAGCTCTCTAAAAATTAAGCATGCTGTTAATCTCCCAAAGTAAATTGTCATTCAATTTTAACTAGTTCATTTATATTCCTAAAAGCTGGGGCCCAATGAGAAATAAACATCTCAAATCATATCAGAGTGTTGCAAGCAGATATGAGCACTGTCACGCCACAGAAGACCTCTTCAGAATAGTACCTTTTTAAGAAGCACATGGAAATCAAGTTACTTAAATTGCTAACGAGTTCAGGAGGAAAAAAACCCAAATAAATTAGCAGTTTAATTGCTAACTACAGGAATTATGAAGAACCTACAGTGTTCGTTTAACCTTTATTAAAGGCACCCAGAATCCTGGCATAGATCTATGACTTCTGCACGATTCATGTCAAGTGATAACCCAGCAAAAAGAGACACTGATCTAGTGCAGTGTCAAACCAATCCATTTGTATAAGTCACAGAAGCAGCATGCCAAAGGCAATGAAAACCAACGATCAACAATTTAAGCCACAGGTCAGGATACACAAAAGGGTTTGAATGAGGAATGTCATGCCCAATCCAAATGCACTTTCGCACTGAAGAGAACAGACATCACACCCTTCAAAACAAATATAAAAAATATTAAAATGAAGCAAGCTTAGGGCTATTTTTTTACATCGCCAGCCTTCATCAGAGCCTTAATAGCTCTGGCCCTCATCTCAAGCTCCAGGAGCTCCAGCTGCTGTGCTGATGGCTGAACATCTTCTGATGAAGCAACAGCCAAGTTTGCTGCTTTAGACTCCTTTGGGCTGGATTCTGCCAACCCCAGTATCTCATTCACGCTTTTATCAATGTCCTTCTGAAGGTCATCTATCTGACCAGCTCCACTTCTGACAGCACTTTCTGGCACATCTGGACTCTCCTCTTCATTGCATGGGCCTTCTATGTCACTATCATATGCATCTGCATTTATGCTGAGGACATCACTATCTTCTCCCTTGCCTGTAACACAAATGTAACAAATAACCATGCAGTGCAGGGAGCCTAACAAAAAATTTCCCTTTCATCTTAGAAACTGCCTCTGCATAGAAATGTTTCTCTTCAGATTCAGAATATGACAAAAGCCATCTATAAATTACAGACAAGTATTTCCTCTTCTTTTCCCTCCCCCAACTTTTAAGACTGATTTAATTTAGACAAGTTTTAATGCATTTTTTATTCCAATTTAGAAAAACATGCAATATACCAAAGCAGCAGTGCCTGAAAAATTTATTCCATCATATGGAGTTACATGATCTATTTTCCTAATTAAAAATGTCATAAGGTTTTATATTACAATGAAGCTTCTGCATTACAAAATCAAAGTTGATGTGGGGAACAGTTTATTATTTTAGAAGTAAATTTAATTCTCAAAATGCAGTTTAAAATTACTTTGATTACTTTATAAATTACCATAAAGGAAAAACACCATAGCCAATGACGATGCAAAAGTCAGACATTACAATTATCTAAGCCTTTTAGTGAAGTATTTCAGATGGATTTGGGTCAGCTCAGTAAAATTATAAGAGAAATCCTGGTGATGGTTTTTATTTTTCATTAAAAGCAGAGGTTTATTAGGACGAGTTTAATTAGAAAAAGCAGTATATTAAGTAAAACTAGCAAAACCTCCATCACCAATACTCACAACTTCACCGTAAAGAGAGATACACTATCATTCTTGACACCTTGGCTCCGCAACTACTTGGTGCTTGGGCATCATTTTTATCTTTGGATACGCTCTGATAATATTGCTTATTGCTTAAAATAAATATTGTTATTTATTACAACAAAATGGCAAAGTTACGGATTCCGAGGGTTTAATAGTGGCTCCTGGTAGGGTCATTATACAATAGTTAAGGCTGTTAATTCATAAATAGTCTTAAAAATGAAATTATAGATTTAAATAAATGCATTTTAAAAATACAAATAACTTTTCACTGTGTGCTGAAGATATAAGGCAAAAGGTACATTCATACACAGTAAGGTCCTGTACTGCATAACGACAAAACAAAATGATAGTTTCAGAGCATATCAGCATTAGGATATAAACATCTAGATAGCATAACAATGCTTAGTAATTTTCCTTTTTAAAATTAGCCTTTTGCCAACTGCTTTAAAAATGTTTCCTTTCCGTGGATGACTTTTAAGAATTACTAGTTTTCTCCATCTGTTCTTTTAGCTCCTAAATCTCAAATCTCCAAGGCTGGGAAGCATTATTGATCTGCCAGTATTGCTCATCAACAACAAAGCCACTGATATACTAGAAACCAATGCAGTACTTCCTCTGTGAATTGCTGTTCTTGGACACCAGGCAATTTGAGTTTTACTAAAGCTCAGGTTATAAAGAATACATTGATAATGTAGTCTAATACAGCAGGGAGCCGGGGTTTGATGCCTTTAACTAATTGTCTTTGTATCTCTGGGATTTTCCTCAAGATGCTCACATTTAATATTTTATTGCTGCAAAACTTACAGAAAGGATTTTGCTAATCATTCTAAATACTAATGACAATTCCCCTGAGAGCATATGTTTTAGTCCCAACATGAACCATTCTCCCTCCCTCTTCAAATAACAGCACAGTATGCATCTTTGAAAAGAAATTTTAGAAGCCTGCCTTTAGAGATGCTTGTTCATATTTTGGTGCCTTTGGTTGTATAGCATATAACCAGAATGCAGCTACATGGGTGAGAGGCATTTCTGGAAAACAGGAAGGAGAACTGAAAAACTCTCCATACCCATAATGGGCCATATTCCCCTTGAACTTTGCACAGAATTCCTTTCATTCGATGAAAATTCGGTGTGAAGATTAGCAGGTAGGATATGGACAACTGAAATTAAAATGTCTGGTTCCAAAATAAGTTTAAGCAACAAATTTTGCCAGAGATCAATTTTTCCTTTTAAGTGAAAAAGAACGCATTAGAAAACTCTACCCCTTCTATGAAACTCTTAGAAGAAATGCTTTTTGGAGTGTGCGCATGTTTGCATATGAGCAGGGAAGGAAAATCTTTAGAAAAACATATTTTTCTTGGCTTTTATGACATAACTGTTGTCCTGAGGGGGTGAAAAATCAATATTGAACACCAAGAAAAATATATAATAAATGCACTTTCCTTGCTTAAAAAAAGAGGAGGAATGGCATTTCATCCAACTACCTAGTCAACAATAAGTTTCCTTAAGTTGTTTTATAAACACTAGAGGCATATTTAAGATAGCCAGCTGGGTTTTATTTACCCTAAATAAAAACTTAAACCTGAGTGCTGGTATAAAGAGTTCAAAAGAAACATACATATCCTGGAGTTTTGGTACAGATTTAAGAAAGCACACAAGTCCCTATTCAGGACTTAAGTGCTGTCCAAAATAGGGATGCTTTTCTGAATCGAGGCCTTAGCTACTCAACATGTGCAGTCCCAGATTTGTAACTTCAGCTACTGAACATGGATGCAAACGGCATACGATGTGTAAAGCATACACAGCCACACGTTTCCAAGAGCAAGATCATCATAAATTTAGTCAGGTATGGGAAAATGGTCAAATTCCTATAAACTCTTGCTTCCGGAGATTAGCATTGTTGATCACATTGATGTATAGGATTTTTGGTTTGTGGCACTTATTAGGTGAATTATGACTTTTTTGGGAGCAAAAACTGGTTATATTGGTTAAAACAATTTAACTCGATGAAAAATGTGTCCTCTTCTAATCCTCAACATCACATGGAGGAGTTTGCAGTAAGCACTGATATATAAGGCCCATCAGTTCCCTACTAAAGTCTTCAACACCACAGAAGTGATGTGTTTGAGGTAGTTTGCCGTCTCTAAAATGCCTTCACGGCAACCTCAAAAACTGCATTTTTACCTCAGATACAAGTTTCACTCATCCTCTCCCTGTCTACAGAAAGGGATGAGTGGACTCTGAACAAAATCTTACTAACTTTAACTTCACAGAAAGAGGAATGGGAATCATTAAGATTAAGGAATGGAAATTTTTCTGTCTTGCTACGAAGCACCAGTCCATATTTACTTAGCACAACTACATTTCCATGGGGCAAGAAAACAAACGGTATTTGAGGAGCCTAGTTCAAAGTTCAGAAGTTAAACTCTGAGCATGCTTAGCCTTACTGCCAATCTTCGCTTTCGAACTGATCAGATGGAGGGGGTGGAAAAACCTGAACGCTACTAACAAACTGGGTCATTAATTCCTGTCCCACTATCTGTATAGAATAGGGAGCTGCCCAGCCTGCAAAGGTACAGGCTGTCCTGGGTTTTTTCGAGAATTAGGAGTCTCCATGGCAGCACAGTGCACAGTAATCACACAACCACTGGCCTACAAATGTTGTTTAATTAGCCGATGAGCTTCATTTCCCTCTTTTGCGGTTGTAATTTTACACAGTAATAAAAGTCTCAGATGGCATTTTTCTCATTATCTTTTTCATTTAGATAGCTTGTACTTATTCCTTCAGCTACAGTTGTGAAATTCATTTCAGCACACTTAATTCCTTTTTTAACCATATTTTACTCACTTCTGCTTAGCCCGCTTTGTTTTCTACCTTTTTTTTCCTGTAGCATCACAGGCTCCAGCATGGAAGAAGAATGATTACTAAGTTATATTTTACAATTTATGCCCATATTCTCAAAAGCTCTTTAAAGCTAACATCTTGAGAAGCGCTGCTGTCATTGCCCAAAGCCATCATGATACCGTGGTTGATAAAGTCATAAAAAAGGACAATGAAGCAATCACCTGCAGCAGTCATCAATTCCCTGAGATAGCACAGAAAGAGTGGAAGAGGTCTGCAGGAAATCTGTCAATTCCGAGGTCACTCCATATAGTGCAACAAGCAATATTTAAAGTGTTTCTCACAAAGTCATGGCATGCTGCTCCTAACAATTTTGCAGCTTTTATGACATTCTTACTTCCTCCCTCCATTTAAATCCCCTCACTAGCTACTTCAAAAAAATAAACCATTTGCAAAGCTGTTGAGATAGGACTCAGAATTGTGAAATAAAAGTTGCAGGAAGCAAATAATATTGGCTCCTCATAAGAGGAATACAGTTCATGAGAATCTGCAGCATTTACTGATTTGAAAGTCATTTCTGACATTACTATGTATAGTAAGTCCAAATGAAAATAAACAGGCTGAGATAGAAGCAGCTATAATTCTAGTGTCATATATAAAATAATACTGGCAGTTGTTACACAGTGTTCATGAAATAGCCGAGCTAAAAGAGGAGCTGATGCAGGTTAAAAGCAGCTTCCAACGTACAGTAGGGAATCAAAAGTACATCACTATCTGTCTTAGTATTTTATCCAGTGCCCATCACAGCAGTACATGAATGCTTAACCCAGTGCATTTCTGTCTGTCCTAAAAAAACAAAGACACTAGAATCACCAGAATGATTCTATAATGATTCCATGGTGATAATGAAAAGCTGATTTTGTACCTCTCTTTCCTGGAGGCTACAAAAAAAGAAGACTCATCTGTCCCCACCTGATCACCAAAAGCTGCCATATCGGTGCGATCACACCAAACGCTGGCTTGTTTGTATTTCTACTCTCAAAATTTGGAACTCAAGAGTATTGCTCAGTTTGCACTTGGAGTACAGAAGCAGCTCTCTTTTAGATAAGGCCCCAAATAATCACTGCCTTTAAAGAGATATGTACAATACAGACCTTCCCTACGTACAGTTTGAACCTGCAAAGTGAGTAACACTTTCAGAAACACTGACTAAGTGAAATGAACCGAATTCAGCAGAGATAGATCTTTGGCAGCAAGTTGTAAAGGGATTATGTCGAGTGATGGAATGCCAACTATGGTCACACCAGCATCAAGAAAAAGGAATTTGAAAGAATCCAAAGGAAGGTGATCAGTATTTAGAATGATTTACATCCTAAGAGAGAGAGATGATCAAAGTTCATCTTCAGCTGGGTGGCCAGAAATGAGAAGCAGGAGAGTGGGAAGGCCTGCAGTCTTGCTTCCCCTCATCTATACTCCCTTCTCCCACAGCTGAGTTATTAACTGTGCTCCTGCAGAGCTTCAGTAATGCTCCCCTAGCAACAAAGAGCTCCAGTCCTGCAGAACTCAGAGGGGCAGGAGAGGGATGGGAACCAGGATTGCAGATCCTCTGAACCAGCCACACAGTCTTGGAGAAATCAGGTGGCTGCTTATTTTGAAAGTAAAACTCTACTGCCATCCTTTCTCCTTCCGTTGGACCTGGGCTCAGGGAAGAGGCTTTAACAATATCTGCTGGGAGCAAGAAGAATGCCTATAGGAAGGCAGGACTCCACACAGAGTGTGATACTGAGAACTGCATGGACCCCAAGCTGAGGCAGGATTTGGGTCGGTTTTTAAAGGGTTTGTTTTTTGCTTATAGCTACTTGTTTTAATTTATGGATCTGAAGATATGCTTCTGCTGAAAACTGCTTTGTCAGTTCACCCCACTAGTTAAAAATGGATTTACAGTCTACTTCAGGACAGTTACTATTATGTTATTAGGACTTGAAGTTCTGGAGGAATTAGGAAGAGCAATGAATGGCTAGTTGCTTATACAACAGATTTACCTAATCTCTTGCTGCTGCAAATGGTTATCATACTGAACAAAGTGAAAAGATAGCATCAGCTTCATGATAAAAATACACTTCCCCAAAACCTTTCAATTTAATTTTTCCTACAGAGTCCAGGGAAGAAACAGGAGGATCTTAATAAGATCCTGGTCTAGTGATCCAGCACTAGTAGGGTCTAAATATACATAAAACCCACCAAACTCTCTTCTGCCACTACAGATCACTATGGGTACAGTGCAAAAATGAAGAGTGGGGAGGACTTTTGAATGTCAATATTTCAGCATGAAGGCAACAAATGCCCCCATGTCATTCAAAAGAACACTCTGCTCCTATTGGAGCATCAATGGGAATTCTGATTGCTCAGCACTTCTGAAAATTAGGCCTATGTTTTGGGTTTTGTTTTTTTGATTTGGTCTTAAAGTGATTAATCATTTTTTCCATTTCTATACTGTCTAGGTGGCACAGATGTCTGGGAGCATTTGATTCCACGGAGGATGCGTCACTGTTATTATTACTCCAGTTCAAGTATCCAGGCTGACAGTCACTGGCTATTGAAATGATCACTACCAAGAACACAAGACTTTAGCTTTCTCTAATACATACCTTGTTTTGACTCCAGACCTTCCAGTTTGCTGTCTTCCCTCAGAGAAGAAGTAGAATCTACATTGTTGTCTTGTCTGGAAACAAACAAGAACACATTTTAATTTGCACATTTTATTATATAAAGTGAAGAAGACTGTTTCAAAGAAACATTTCCTTTACATTAGCGTGTAGTATTTGTTGATAGCCTGAATAAGGCAGGTTCTGTATGAAAGGGGCCAACAAGAGTTTACATATACATTATAACTATTTTAAGCACTTTACAACATCATGGTATTTTTCTGCTTTCCTCAGTGACATACAAGATCAAAGTTAATTATCCTCATTGCACTGGTCCTACAAATGAATAATCATAATTGGCAGCATCTTCCCAATATGGAGGTGCTTATTTGCAAAATGCAGCATAAATTGTCACAGGCAGGAATTTCGAAAATCTAGTTTCAGTTGCATTCAAGGGATATTTGCTGTTTACTTTTAGAATTAAGTAGCTATTTTCACCCTCACCAGAAACTAATGTTACCACTGAAGAATTGCTTTTAAAAAGCAAATTCAGCCAGACTATTGACCTGGGTTCAATATCCATTTTCCCTACCTTAAAAGATTCACCTTTTTTTAATTCTAAGATTCCTACACCCTCCCACTCTAAGGTGTCAAGCCTGGAATTACTTCATGTTGCACAGCAGCAAACAAAAAATAGCCCAAGAGCCGTGGAAACACATTTGTGGCCTGCTATCTACCTACAATTTTCAAATGACATTATTTATACAAAGCGGGGAAGTGTAAATGAGAGATTGTTAGATGCGCCTGAAAAGGGCAGACACTGCTTACAGCAAGATCCTGAAATCATAAGAGAATCCAATTGTTGAGTTTAATGAGCATTTTGGCAGTAAAATTATTTTATATTCATCTACCCAATTTCATACCTCAGCTGTTTTCTTGTCTAAAGTTTGTATAGTATGTATTATATTAACATGTAATCAAAGCAACCAACCTGCTTGTAGGTATTAAATCGGACCATAAAAAAAGAGATAGTATTACCATAGATCTTACCATATTCTAATTTCACAGTTTCAATACTCAAGACTTAGTTACTTTTCAACTATGGCCTTATACAAGTTTTTTCTTAACAAGGTGGCTGCAGATCTGTTTTTCTATTAAATATTCACAGATGTGTTTCTGTTTAGAATGTCAGGCTAATAAAACTGGGAGGGAATCTCTTCATTTTGTACAGCATTTCTAACCAGCCCCAATTTGCTACACAGATGCAAAAAAGGGTACATCTATTTTGATGGCTACTTCCCCCACTAGTAGTAGACATTGTAATCAATTCTGATTGGCCCTCCATTTCTCCCACAAGTTTGCACACAAAGACATGCATATAGTGATCACAACAATGCAAACAAATGCTTCGGAAGGTGACTGGGCATTTGCACACACAGATGCAATAGTTGTGCAAAAAACTGAATGTTTGTCTTGATAGCACACAGTCACTTTGACTTAACCTGTATCTTTTGCAAGACACTGGGTGAGGATCATGCGCTTCCTTCCTCTCTCTAGTATGTTTCCTACCTGCTGAAGCTGGGTGAGATGTTATTCCAAATCCCAAGGTTTCAATTCTGTTTGGCTCTCCATTTCCAGCAGAAGAATGGCAGAGGGGGTAGAGATAAGAAGGAAGAGAACCAAAGTGGGGAAAGAGCTATGCTGAACAGAGAGCTTGTTTATGTGAGCTTCCCTCGTCCTAGGAACCACCCAAATGTTTCCCCACAGAAATGATTTTTGCTTTGTCTCTGGAAGGTCAGACATTTCAGGCTGTATTAGCTCTTAGATGCTATATCCAAAACCAGAAATTCTAAGAGAAAATTAATTTTGCTTTAATGTGATCTTTTAAACATGTTAAACAGGTTCTTAGACTTTCCTTCCTTCCTGCCCCAGCCTCGGGGGGCGAGGATTAACACAACCCAAAAACTTGCACTCTTCCCTATTGCCAAGGAGAGTAACTGACTGGCTGTTTCCATTGCTGATGGCGACGTTGCTCCTTGGCAAGCAGCAGGGTCAGCTCTGACACAATCAAATAGTTTCCAGGGGGAAAGATGCCAAGCAGTGTCACCTCTGCAGTAATAAAGCTTCTGCTGCCCTGAGTCTTAAAGCCAAAATATCATTCAAGAATCAAAATTACCCCTTTGGCTGCAACCTCACAGCAACCCCTTATTTCTAACTATGCAGTTTGCTTTAAGTACAAGTAATAGAAATAGCTACATTTCTTTTTACCTAACAAAAAATAAAGACTTTTCTGTCAATTGGAAATTATGTAGCAAAACCTGCTGCAGAATGTGTCCCTGATATTTAGACCATATCAACTGTTTTAGTAAGAAAAAAAAAAAAAAAAAAAAAAAAAAAAAGGAAAAAAGCATCCCTGCTGTAAAGACCACCTGCTGTCAAAAAAAAAGGGTCCCAAAGGCAATCTTTTACAGCACATTTTATTTTATCATAATAGATTGGGTTTGACTGGATTGCTGATGAAACTTCACTAGCTGGATTTTAATAAGTAGGTGTCATGCACCATCTTGTGGCCAAGCAGTGGCAGAGCAGTCTATATTTGCTTTATTTTCTTAATAAAAAGAATTCAAATGCATAAAAACAGTGGGCCAAAGTCAGTCACTCTTAATTTACACCGGTGTAAAACAGCAGACACCCAGCAGCCAAAAGCAGATACAAAAGCGGGGCGAACTTCAGTATATCCCCCAGGTGTGGGGAGCAGGAGATATGCTGGATTTAACACTAAGGCAATGCCTTGGAGGCTGCAGGCCTCATATCCTCATTTTCCATATCAACCTTGGCTAACAAGTGGCTGCTAAAGTTTGCAGTTCCCTGTGCCTCCTGGCTGTTGGGAACGAAAACAGTCAGAATCAGGGAGTCATGCTCTATGAGGGAGTCAGTGCTAATCTTTGAAGTCAGCCACAGCTCTCTCCTGCCCTCCTTTTTCAGCTGATTCCCTCCTCTCATCCTTCCAATTTTGGTAAATTAGCTCCTCCACTTCCATTTTTCCCTTGGGTCTCCTTGCCATTCTCCCTTGTTTTGGTGGTGTTCTATTGCATTTTATACATTTTTTTAAAAAATAGAGGTTGGAAGGACCCTCTCTACCAAAACAATAACACCTTCTCTCTTTTGCTGCTTGCTGTTGACAGCAGCTGCAAAGTGAAGCCTACCTAATTCAGTGGTTTTCAACTTGTGGTCCATGGATCCCTGAGGGTCTGCAGACTATCTAAAATTTCCAAATTCGTCCACACCTTTATTTGAATTTTTTTTAGGGGGCTGCAATGAAAAGAGGTTGAAAACCCTGGCCTAGTTCTTTTAGGCTGCTCATCTCCTTCCTTTGCAAGGACAAGGAAGGTAAATTTACAAGAGTTAGGGCTAGTCTACACGGCAGCGCTTTAACGTGGCTTGTATGGATGTGGCAGAGCACTGGGGGAGAGCTCTCCCAGCGACTCTTAAAAAAAATATCCACCTCCAAGAGGGGCGTAGCACCCAGTGCTGGTGCACTGTCTACGCTGGTGCTTTACAGAGCTGAAACTTGCAGCGCTCAGAGGGATTTTTTTCACATCCCTGAGTGAGAAAGTAACAGCGCTATAAATTGCCAGTGTAGACAAGCCCTGAGTTTCACTTTACAGGCTTCCTTCTAAGCTAGCAAAGGACTTCCCACACCGATCTTTCCTTGGCAAGGCTCAAACAGTTATTTCAGATTTTCTTCTATGTTTCACATAAGAGAATCAAGTTTTACAGGACAAGAACTAATACATACACATCATCTTAGATATTCCTCTTGGAAGAAGTATCAGGGAAGGTGGGTTTGTTTTTTTCCCCCCAAGAGGATGACGACAGATGAAATAAATAATAAGCACTAGTTATGTTACAGAATTGGACTCCAGACTGATCAGACTTACTAGGCCAAGGTTTCAAGACCCAAAATTCAGCCTCCAAAATATGTCAAAGGGTCGCATGGGAGGCCCAAGGTGTGTGTGACAGGGGAAGGGTTCAGGGAAGCCCAGGGTGTGTGTGACCGTGTGCACGCGCGCAGAGATTACCCTGCACTCACCCCTAGAGAAGCAGCTCCAACAGCTCTGGCTGAGCTCAGCTGTATGCACTGCAACCTGATTCATGGGCTCTCAGTGTCCAAAAAGAATGAGAAACACTGTAATAGATTCTCCTTGCTACACATTGAGAACAGTCAGAGCCTGATTTTGAGAAGCAGACTCATTTTGCAGGCATGATTTTGTACTTGCAATTAACTATGCCTGTAATTCAATGCCCTTCAATCACTAGTCTCTGTGATTAACAGATGGAAACAGGCTATTAGACATCTATGGATTTTTGGTGCAGTTGTGCATGTGGTTTGTGAATATAAAATCAAAGAACAGGGTGAGGCCCTTAAAAAAAAAAAAGACACGGCCTAAGTTTTGAGGAACTATATTTTCTTGCGTGCAAAACTTAATTGCAGTGAACAAGTCTTCTGTATTATCACAGTGGTCTGTGAATTACTAATAAAAATCAACATGTTAAACATCAGTGCTGGCAATACTAGGTATAGTCCCTACCAGCATTATGCACTATGCTCAAGATTATTTGCATGATCCGGTCCTATATTTAGATAATCAAATATTCATGGGGGCCAACTAGTATTACAAAGTTGTAATCAAAACCGATATGTCTTTAGGTTTCAAAAATGATATACAGTATTAAACACTGCAACCAAAATTTACAAATTTGTTTAAGCAAGAGAGCTATCTGTATAAAAGCCGCAATGCTCATTTTGAAAAATAGCAACACGCAACTGTTTCTGAAGCAGATTAAGGAGCAAATTTTTATAAATGTACCAAAATCCCTGTGGTTGACGTTTTCTTTGAACGGAAAGTCCAAGGTACTTTTTATTACATTTTGCATTAGAAAGGGCATAACATTAAACGGAATGACAGGATGTGCCTCAGTAAATTTGGACAAATGCAAAACAAGCTATGAGTGTCAGACTAACATAGCAAAAGCCTTGTTTTCTTGTGTTCTATATACTACAAAGTAAAAAGAAACAAAGGATATTACATTGCTTAC